CACCCCATGGACCTCCAGATGGCCATTTTCCATTGTGCCGATGATTTCATGAGGCAGTACATGGCAACCAAGCTCGCCTTCTGCCAGCTTGCGCTTCCCCTCCTGGTACCAAACCCATGCACCTCCCAGATCGAGTTCCCCCTCTGGTCCCTCAGCCACATTAAAAAGAGCTGGAAGGGCACAGAGAAAGTGGCGAGGCAGAGCACAATCAGGAGTCACCAGAACAAACTGATCTGCCAGGCGGAGACCCCCATCGTGTCCTTCGTGCGCATTGGGACTTCTCCTTCCTCTTCCAAGTCGCAGATCCTGAATGCCCTGCTGAGCAAACACAAACACGACACTTTCTTCCATCGACACTGCAAAGGCAGCACCCCAGACTGCCTGCTGATGGAAGGCCTTGTGGAGATCTCCTGGTACTGTCCCAGTGGAGGTGCGGACGACAGATTTGAGAACTGCATTGCGTTCACTAACTTACATGGGGACGCAAGAGAACACAAACAACAAGTTAAATTTCTACAGGAGATAGCTTCTCTAAATGTGGTCCTGCTTACCACTTCTGATGAGACTGAGGTGGGTAGGCAGATTGTGTGTGATCTCTTGAGGTCCCCAAAGCCCTTTGTTTGCCTTCTCACGGAGAAGGAGGGCAGTGCGGTGAGTATAACCAAGCAGAACCTCATCGTGTCTGACAAGCGCAACCTCAACGTAAAAATACCCATCAAAAACAGGAACGAGGCCGACTTGGTTGATGATTTGGCCAACACAATCAGAGTTCTACTAGAAGATGCCGAGAGTAGTTGCAGCCTTGACACATGTGCAGGAATCGCTCGCCAGCATGGCTTTCTGATTGATGTAGATAAAGAAGATTGCAAGGAAGCCAAGGCCGTGGCACAAGCACTGGTGGCCATCTGCAAGGAGAATAAGGTGGCAAGAGTGAAGGAAAAGCTCTTGCCTCTTCAAGGAGAATTATGGCATGAGTGGTGTAGAAAGGACAAGGAACTCACCCGTCTGCAGGAGAGGAATAGGAGCATTGAACAGCATCGCAGTGAAATCGAGTCAGAAAAACATGAGATAAGGCAGAAGCAGCTGGAAAAGGGATGCCCCCCAAATGAGCTGATGAAGCCAGTCTTGAAAATGATCCTGTCTGATTCGGAATCCACCAAGAAGTACTTTCTGGAGTGGATGAAAATGTTCATGGATGCCTTGTCAGCTGACCACCTTGAAGAACTCCAGCAGAAATACCATGCCTTGTGGTCACAAATGAAGGAGAAAGCCGACTCTGAAGGCAATGTCAGTGCAGGAGATAAACTAAGGCATAGGTTGGAAGCATTGTCAGCCGAGATAAGTGCTTCGACAATAGGTCTTGAGCACATTCTGAGGGAAATTGGGCAGATTTATGAAGCTCTGGATGTGAATACTCAAAAAGAGAAACATTTTCTTCAGCTGCCGCAGATCGCGGCCAAACTGATGGTTTCCGGGTATCCCATTGAGCTGATGGATGGCGATGCTTCCTACGTGCCATTAGAATGGGTCGGGGCCATCTTTGACAGACTAGCTGCGATGCTAGGGGACAAGCGAGTGTACGTCCTTTCGGTGCTTGGCATCCAGAGCACGGGCAAGTCAACGCTGCTGAACGCCATGTTTGGCCTGCAGTTCAACGTCAGTGCGGGGAGGTGCACGCGGGGAGCGTTCATGAGGCTGCTGAAGGTGGACAAGGACCTCCAAGAGGACGTGAACTTTGACTACATGCTCATYGTTGACACCGAAGGACTTCGTGCCGTCGAGCTGGCCAATAAGCAGTCGCTCAACCACGACAACGAGCTAGCCACCTTCGTCATTGGCATCGGCAACATGACCCTCATCAATATCTTTGGAGAGAATCCCTCGGAAATGCAGGACGTGCTGCAGATAGCCGTGCAGGCTTTTCTGAGGATGAAGCAAGTCAACCTGTCCCCCAGCTGCTTGTTTGTGCACCAAAACGTCGGCGAGATAACTGCAAAGGAGCAAAACATGGAAGGACAACGGTGCCTGCAGCAGAAGCTGGATGAGATGACAGTGACAGCCGCCCAGCAGGAATTCTGCGATGCCACCTGCTTCAGCGACGTCATCCGCTTCGACGTGAAGACCCACGTCCATTACTTTGCTCATCTTTGGGAAGGCAACCCACCGATGGCRCCACCCAACCCCGCTTACAGCCAGAACGTGCAGGAGCTGAAGAGCAAAATTCTCCAAGCTGCCAAGAAGGAGTCGCAGGGCAGCATTTTAAGGCTCTTGAGCTTGAAAGAGCGGATTCGGGACCTGTGGAATGCTTTGCTGAACGAAAATTTTATTTTTAGCTTCAAGAATTCTGTGGAGATTGCCGCATACAAGAAACTGGAAATGGCATTTAGCCAGTGGACCTGGCAGCTGAGAAGTCACATCCTGGATCTGCAAATGAAACTGGACAATAGAATTCGGAATGGGGAATTGCAGATGATCACCGTAGAACACCTGGAGAAACTGGTGCAAGAAAAGAATACTGCTGTCATGAAAGAGCTGGAATCCTTTTTCAGTGAGGACAAAGACCGTGAGATCCTGGTCCAGTGGAAATCCAGCACTGAAATTAAGCTGAAGGAACTGAAAGAGTCACTTTTTGCTGAAACCAGACGGAAGTGCGAGAAACTTATTGACTTAAAGAAGAAACAGAGTAAATTGGATGAGAGGAAGTCAGAATATGAAAATGAGCTTCTGGAAAGGAGCAGGACGTTGGCTCTGTCTCTAAAAGGCCAGGAACTAAGTGAAGCACAATTAAGAAGGAGCTTTGATAGTCTCTGGGTCACCTGGGTTACTGAAGTGTCCTCTGCTGCTCCACCTATAGAAGAAGTTAATATTGATGTGGATATTGAAGATATCCTTCTAGACCACTTCAAGGAGCCTAATCTAGCGGCGAGAATCAAGTTATTTTCCAAACAGCGGTGTTTTTCTGTTGACTTGGAGAAACATGTCGTCAAAAAAAAGCAGTGGCGCTTTTGGCAGACCAGTTTAGATGATGCCGAGGTGGACCACGTGCATCACATCACAGATAACATCACGGTGAATGTGATGGCAAGCCTTGATAAGAAAGAGAGGGACAAAATGGATTACAGTCGAAATTTTATCCATGAAATACTGAATGAAGTACAGAAAGGCATAGACTCTGTTCCTAGCAATGCAAAATTTGTTTTTAAAAAAGATTACYGCATAGATTTGTCACTGTATCTGTGTACAAAGGCAGCTGAAAGGTTTAAGGACATGCATGCAGCATTCAAAAGAGCAAACGACCCAGCCATCTACCTACAAAGTAAGAGAGAAGATTTCTTCAAGTGCTTCCAGATTTCCTGCCAAGGAGCCACTTCYATCACAACGTTTGCTGACTTTTTGTGCAGTAAGATTTCTCCAGCACTTTGCCAGGCAGTGTATGAGAAGACAGCTATTGCCATAGCTCGAGACATGAGGATTAAAGTCCAAGATTTTGGTGGCAATCGAGCTCAGCTAGAGGTTTGCATATTGAAATACCTGGCACAAGAGGAAAGTTTTGAGAAATTCAGGCGCTACCTTTATTCCCCAAGAGAATTTTTTCAGGAGTACATCAAGAAACTTGTTCATGAGTACTGTTTAGATAAGAACAGGAGGCTGGAGATGTTCTTAAATGACTCTCTTACCCATTACTATGAAAACATTCAGTCGGCTGTTTTTACATCAACCAGAGTTATCAAAGACAGAAATGACAGAAGCGACAAAATCTCCCTTTGGCTGGATGAATTCTGCAGCAGTCTTAAAGAGGTGCTAAGCTTGCCCAGGAAGGACCTGAAAAGTATTGAACATCTGAAGGTAACGGACATAGAGTTCCTGAATAATGCCGTGACAGAAGCCCTGGCTCCCCTGCAYGATGAACTTAAGCAAGGTTTTGCTAATGCTGATCTCAACTCCTTTGGGAGGCAGCCACACACCATACTCGCCGAGCAGTGTGCAGGGTGCTGGGAGCAGTGTCCCTTTTGTGGGGCCCTTTGCACAAACACTCTGGCGAATCACGATGGAGACCATCAGCTTGTTTTCCATCGTCCGAACGTTTTGACGGGATACAAGTGGTATAAAACAGACAATCTAGTAATCGACATTTGTTCTAGTAGCGTTGCAAGTGAATGTTTGTTCCGTATTGGTGAAGACAAGTGGATTCCTTACAAGAAATACCGGGAGGCAGGGCCTCCTTATTCTACTTGGAACATTCTACCAGATCCATCCATGAAAGCGTACTGGAAATGGTTTGTGTGTCACTTCAGGACACAGCTGGAAAAATGGTTCAATGGCAAATTTCAAGGCAAAGGAGAAATTCCTGACGCGTGGAAGAAAATTACAAAGCAGGAAGTGCTCTCACAATTGGACAAATTTTAGACCAAGTTGCTATGAAGGAAGAGCTGCAAGCATTCTGCAGGTTAGAAGAAGACAATGCAGGCATACCCACAAGGATTATGATCGCGCCCTCAAGTCCTGCAAAATAACCTATCTATCTGCTCAGAGATTTGGGTGAAATAAGGGGCACCACTCCTGCCCCTTACTCCCGCTCGGTTCTATTGCTTCATGATCAAGTGGGGGGTTTTCTTGCCTTCTTGACGCAAACATGGAAGTCAGCTTTGGGTAAGAGCAAAAAGAAAAGCCTTACTGCAGCCAACAGGCGTAAGGCCAAGATCAAGTACCAGAGGAAGAGCAAAGATGACATGAGAAGGTATCACTCTATTGGGCTGTTATGAGATAATGGTACTGCCAAAAAATACCCTCCCTGCAGCAAGTACTTTTCTTACCTAAAGAGTGAACTGTGGTATCTGAGATAGTTCCACAGTTGGGGGGACCTGTGTTCCTTTTTATTTGGGGGGACTTATTTTTCCTTTATATATAACGAAGTGCTTTCTATCTTTGAATTTGCTAAGGCAGCTACTTCTGTCAGCCTGGGCAGCCTTAGACAGTGATTTAACTCCTTAGGTTAATGAGGTGTATTTCACGTGATAAGATGTACCCAGGCTTCCATGACCTGGCTAGATTTCCTGTAGCTCTCAATCAAGCCAAGTGCTTTTGTGATTTGCTTTTGTATGTTTTGGTTTGTTTTGTTCGTGATTTGCCTTTCTCTAACCAATTTCAGTATCACGCAGTGTCTGCAGCCGGCGACAGCGGATTCTCTTAGTGTTTCTGCTATCAAAGCGGGCGGGTGCCAACTGTTTAATGGAACAGAGAATGTGAAAGTGGCCAAAGGAGCAAGGAGTCAGAGGAGTAGAGTGCAGAGTCCTGCACCTGGGCAGGAATAACCCCAGGCACCAGCACAGAGCAGGGGTGACCTGCTGGAGAGCAGCTCCATGGAGAGGGACCTGGGAGTCCTGGGGACACCAAGTCACCCGTGGGGCAGCAGGGCTTGGTGGCCAAGGAGGCCAGTGGGCTCCTGGCTGCATCCGGAGGCCGTTGGCAGCAGGGCAGGGAGGGGATCCTGCCCCTCTGCTCAGCTCTGCGGAGGCCAAAGCTGGAGCGTTGGGGGCAGCTCTGGGCTCCCCAGGACAAGGGGGCCGTGGAGCTGCTGGAGAGGGGCCAGCGCAGAGCRCCAGGGCTGAGGAAGGGCCTGGAGCAGCTCTCGTGTGAGGAGAGCCCGAGCGAGCGGGGCCTGCTGAGCCTGGAGAAGAGGAGGGTGAGAGGGGAGCTGATTAACATGGGTAAGTTCATGAAGGGGGAATGTAGGGAGGAAAGGGCCAAGCTCTTCTCAGTGGTGGCCTGTGACAGGACAAGGGGTAATGGGTACAAGWTGAAACCCAGGCAGTTCCATCTCCAGGTGAGGAGGAACTTCTTCACTGTGAGGGTGACAGAGCAGTGGAACAGGCTGCCCAGGGAGGCTGTGGAGTCTCCTTCTCTGGAGGTCTTCCAAACCCGCCTGGATGCCACCCTGTGCCACATGCTCTGGGTGTCCCTTGCTGGAGCAGGAAGGCTGGACTAGATGATCTCTAGAGGTCCCTTCCAACCTTGAACACTCCGTGATTCTGTGTCATTCTGTGTTCCTGTGAGTAGAAGGCTGCAGTGTTTCCTCCGCAGCTCCCTCTGTGCACCCGGAACYTCCAGGACCCGGCACATCCAGTGCATTCCTTTGTTCTAATCTTTTGTACTCTTTGCTAATAAACGTGCTGAGTCGGAGCGGGTTGGTCTCTGTGAGCCGTGGGAAGGGAAGGGGAAGGAGCGGCCCAGGAGCCCTCGTGGCCCTCAACGGCTGCCCATGCCGTACGGAGCCGGGATCCTGTCCTCGTGCCCTGGGCCTTAGACCCTCTACAGGCCCTCGTAACCTCAGAGCGCAGATAAACACTGGGCATTTCTAGCCCAGCCTCCTCCTGACCCCAAAACAGGGTGAGCACTTAAACTGAGACCGGCCTGCTTAGGCTTGACAGTCTGTCCAGCCTGTTCTTGAAAACCCCTGGAGAGGGAGATCCCTCTGCCTCTCCGGGACTCTCCCTTCCCTGCAGCTGGGTGCAACCATCCCTGGTGAAACCTTGTTGGACCCAGGAGGGCCCTGCTCCCCTCAGCACCCCAGAACGGGGCTCAGCACCCTCACAGCGAGCCCAGCACCCGCTAAGAGGCCAGGTCCCTTCAGCTCCCCACAACAGGGCACAGCACCCCTCTACGCAGTCCAGCTCCCTCCAGCCCATCTGTAACAATATGGGGGTCCAGCACCCCCATAACCAGCCCAGCACCCTTTAACTGGCCAGATCCCCACAGCTCCCATGGAAGAGGCCCAGCTCCCCACAGGAGCTGGCCCAAACAGAGCTCAGCCTTCCCCTTGTTCCCCCAAACAAAGCCCCAGAACCCCCAGAACAYGCCCAGCTGCCCGTAAACGAGCCCTGGGTCCACCCAGCACCCGGAGAAGGTTGTGGTGGAGGTGGCTGGGGTGGAGGTGGTGAGAGGTGTCTGCAGCAGCATCTCCAACTGGGCCACCGCTGGTACGTCCTCCTTGGCCATGCTGCCTGGACGGCTTCTCCTCCTATGCCACTATGCCTTAGGCAGCTCCTGGAGCAAGGACTTGCTCCTTGTCTGTGGTCTCCAGGATCAGGACCCTAGGGTCCTAGCATTGGACCCTGCTTTTGTGTTTTTCACGCCCTGCCTCTGTCCCCACTCCAGTTCCTCAGTGCTTCAATCGCTGCACATCTCTGCTAGGAGCGGTGGAAATCGCTATATCCACCACCAAAACCCAGAGGGAGAGGTGGTCCTCTCGGAGAGCCTCCAGACCTCCCCATGGATCTGAGCATCCTGGATCCAGCTTTCCCACGGCAGAGTGCAATCGACTGTCACCGGGCTCATCGGGAGACTCCTGGATTGTGCAGCAAGGAAGTACCGGGGCTTGGGGACCACCTCCCCCATGAGCACCGCAGGATGCTGCCCACCCACAACGAGAACGTCAGCAGCCAAGAGACTCCTGTCAATGTTTAATACTGATACAGAGCCATGAAGGTGAGTTACAGAGCCAGGGAGGGTGAGTTACAGAGAGAGCAGAGCCAGAGGGGCAAAGGCAAGATACAGACGTGGATGAGACCAACATTGCATGACATCTCCATTCCCAAAGACATCACACGAGAGGATTGCACTGGTCCTGTTAGACTTTAAAACCGCAGGCTTCAGCAGAGATTGCTTCATGGAAGGCCTAAGTTAAACACTCCATAGGTGGCTTACAGAAAGTCAGAGATGTTCTATAGTGGCCATGGCATCACCTGGGTTTGTGCCTTGCAGATTCTGCCCGCTATTCTTTGGTGCCTTTGCAGAAGCTTGGCCTTTGAGCTTATTTTTTATGGAAATAAGAACGGGAACGGAGTTAACAAAGTACGAAATAAAATTCAGCTRGAATTCCAGCTGGAATAATCTCTAGACTGCCTACAATGGAAGCCAGGATGTTCAGTCCATTAGCAGACAGTTTTGGAGCTATGAGATGATGTGTTGAGGTGATAACGCTTCCAGCTCACAGATCACATCTTTCTTTGTAAACTTACTCCATTCTGCAGGGATTGCTCCTTTGCCCTCAAATTTTGCCTGGTAATCTTGTTCCAGCTGTGAGCGGAAATGGGACACAAACCATTTCCAGTACGCTTGCATGGAGCTGTCTGGTGTGATGCTCCAGTTGGCATAAGCTGGTCCTGCTTTCCTGTAATTTTTATAGGGAATTTCATTGTTATTGCCAAGCACAAGAAGAGAGTCGCTCGCCACAAGACTGGAGCAAATCTCAATGACAAAGTGGTTTGTTCCAGTCCACTGGGTTCCATTCAAGACCTGAGGACGATGGAAGTGGACACTGTGGTCCCCGTCATGATCAGGTATTGTGCTTGTACAAAGAGCATTGCAGAAGGGACACTGCTCCCAGCAGCCATGGAGCTGGTCAAACAATATTTTATGAGGTTTCAAGTTAAAAGGTTTCATATCCGTCACTGAAAATTCCTGTTTCAGCTTTTCTAGCACAGGCACCAGTGCTTTACTCATTGCCTCCTTAAGGAACTCTATGTCCTTTATTTCCTGGTGCTCGATGCGTTTCAGATCACTTCGAGGAAGTTCAAAATTGTCTCCAAGTCTGCTACAAAAYTCATCCAGCCATAGGGAGACATTTCCATGTTTGTCTTTGACAACTTGGGTAGAAGCAACAATAGCAGAAACAATAAGAGTCTGGAATGAATTCAGGGAGATACTTAGCAAGTCCTTCAGCCTTGGATTTTTCTTGTCTAAGCAATAGTTGTTGACACAGTTTTCGATGAAACTTTCTAAAAACTCTTTGGGGAAATGGATGTACTTCCTGAACTTCTCAAAATCCTCTTCCTCTGCAAGGGAGATGAGAATAGCTGTTTCTAGCTTAGATCGATTGCCATTGAAAGCTGGATGGTTGGACCGCATCTCACAGGCTATGTCGATGGCAGTCTTGGCATACACTGCCTGCCGAAGAGCTGCTGAAAGCTTCTCGCACAGAAAAGCAGCAAAAGCTGTGACAGAGGTTGCTCCTTGGCAGGAAATGTGGAAAATTTTGAAGAAGTCTTCTCTCTTGCTCTCCAGGTAGAAAGTCGGATCGTTGGCTCTTTTGAAAGCCTTATGCATATTTTCAAACCTTTCTGCTGCCATTTTGCACAGACACACTGCCAGGTAGATTCTGTACTCATTGGAAAAGACGTATTTGGAAGCACTGGCTGCAGAGTCCAGCTCTTCTCTTATTTTATTCAGGATCTCATGAATGTAGCATTGGTTGTAATCCATCGTCTCCTCCTCCTTTGTGTCGATGGTTGTGCTGACGAGCTGCGTGATGCGGATTTCAAGCTGCTGGATTTTGGCTATTTCACAGCTGTCCAAAGACTTTTTAAAGAAGGACACTGCTCTCTTCATGACAACATGCTTGGAAATATCAATTTCCAAGGCGTCTTTCTGCAAGAAGCACTTTATCTTCTCCTCTATGTTTGGCTCTTGTTTGAAATGCTCCAGGAGAATATTCTCAATATCGAGGGTTATGTTTGGTTCTGCGGAAGGAGGTGCAGTTGAAGATACTTCGTAGACCCATTTTTTCCAAAGGCTATCAAAGTGTTCTCTCAGTTTTTCTTCGCTCAGCTCTTCGTTCTTTAGTGACAAAGCCAACTTGTGGCTTCTTTTGAAAAGCTCCTGTTCGTATTCCGACTTCTTCCGATCCAGCTTGTTCTGATTCTTCTTTAGCTCAATGAAATCTGCAGACTTGCGCAGTGTGTCATCGACAAGCACTTCTTTCAGGTTTTTCAGCTTATTTTCAATGCTTGCTTTCCACTGAATCAAAATCCCACTGTCCTCATCTTCCCTGAAATAGCATTCCACGTCATTCAAGATAGACTTATATTTCTCTTGAACTTCCTCCATGAGACTTCTTTGGGTTATGTGCTGAATTTCTCCCTTTTTAATACGATTGTTCAGTTTCCTCTGCAAGTCCAGAATGTGGCTCCGCAGCTGCCAGGTCCATTGACTATACGCTGTTTCTAACTTGTTGTATGCGGCAATTTCCAGGGTGTTTTTGAAACTAAAGACAAACTTTTCATTCAGCAGAGCCTTCCACAGGTCCCGAATCCGCACTTTCAAGCCGGAGAGCCTTAAAATGCTGCCCTGCGACTCCTTCTTGGCAGCTTGGAGAATTTTGCTCTTCAGCTCCTGCACGTTCTGGCTGTAAGCGGGGTTGGGTGGYGCCATCGGTGGGTTGCCTTCCCAAAGATGAGCAAAGTAATGGACGTGGGTCTTCACGTCGAAGCGGATGACGTCGCTGAAGCAGGTGGCATCGCAGAATTCCTGCTGGGCGGCTGTCACTGTCATCTCATCCAGCTTCTGCTGCAGGCACCGTTGTCCTTCCATGTTTTGCTCCTTTGCAGTTATCTCGCCGACGTTTTGGTGCACAAACAAGCAGCTGGGGGACAGGTTGACTTGCTTCATCCTCAGAAAAGCCTGCACGGCTATCTGCAGCACGTCCTGCATTTCCGAGGGATTCTCTCCAAAGATATTGATGAGGGTCATGTTGCCGATGCCAATGACGAAGGTGGCTAGCTCGTTGTCGTGGTTGAGCGACTGCTTATTGGCCAGCTCGACGGCACGAAGTCCTTCGGTGTCAACGATGAGCATGTAGTCAAAGTTCACGTCCTCTTGGAGGTCCTTGTCCACCTTCAGCAGCCTCATGAACGCTCCCCGCGTGCACCTCCCCGCACTGACGTTGAACTGCAGGCCAAACATGGCRTTCAGCAGCGTTGACTTGCCCGTGCTCTGGATGCCAAGCACYGAAAGGACGTACACTCGCTTGTCCCCTAGCATCGCAGCTAGTCTGTCAAAGATGGCCCCGACCCATTCTAATGGCACGTAGGAAGCATCGCCATCCATCAGCTCAATGGGATACCCGGAAACCATCAGTTTGGCCGCGATCTGCGGCAGCTGAAGAAAATGTTTCTCTTTTTGAGTATTCACATCCAGAGCTTCATAAATCTGCCCAATTTCCCTCAGAATGTGCTCAAGACCTATTGTCGAAGCACTTATCTCGGCTGACAATGCTTCCAACCTATGCCTTAGTTTATCTCCTGCACTGACATTGCCTTCAGAGTCGGCTTTCTCCTTCATTTGTGACCACAAGGCATGGTATTTCTGCTGGAGTTCTTCAAGGTGGTCAGCTGACAAGGCATCCATGAACATTTTCATCCACTCCAGAAAGTACTTCTTGGTGGATTCCGAATCAGACAGGATCATTTTCAAGACTGGCTTCATCAGCTCATTTGGGGGGCATCCCTTTTCCAGCTGCTTCTGCCTTATCTCATGTTTTTCTGACTCGATTTCACTGCGATGCTGTTCAATGCTCCTATTCCTCTCCTGCAGACGGGTGAGTTCCTTGTCCTTTCTACACCACTCATGCCATAATTCTCCTTGAAGAGGCAAGAGCTTTTCCTTCACTCTTGCCACCTTATTCTCCTTGCAGATGGCCACCAGTGCTTGTGCCACGGCCTTGGCTTCCTTGCAATCTTCTTTATCTACATCAATCAGAAAGCCATGCTAGCGAGCGATTCCTGCACACGTGTCAAGGCTGCAACTACTCTCGGCATCTTCTAGTAGAACTCTGATTGTGTTGGCCAAATCATCAACCAAGTCGGCCTCGTTCCTGTTTTTGATGGGTATTTTTACGTTGAGGTTGCGCTTGTCAGACACGATGAGGTTCTGCTTGGTTATACTCACCGCACTGCCCTCCTTCTCCGTGAGAAGGCAAACAAAGGGCTTTGGGGACCTCAAGAGATCACACACAATCTGCCTACCCACCTCAGTCTCATCAGAAGTGGTAAGCAGGACCACATTTAGAGAAGCTATCTCCTGTAGAAATTTAACTTGTTGTTTGTGTTCTCTTGCGTCCCCATGTAAGTTAGTGAACGCAATGCAGTTCTCAAATCTGTCGTCCGCACCTCCACTGGGACAGTACCAGGAGATCTCCACAAGGCCTTCCATCAGCAGGCAGTCTGGGGTGCTGCCTTTGCAGTGTCGATGGAAGAAAGTGTCGTGTTTGTGTTYGCTCAGCAGGGCATTCAGGATCTGCGACTTGGAAGAGGAAGGAGAAGTCCCAATGCGCACGAAGGACACGATGGGGGTCTCCGCCTGGCAGATCAGTTTGTTCTGGTGACTCCTGATTGTGCTCTGCCTCGCCACTTTCTCTGTGCCCTTCCAGCTCTTTTTAATGTGGCTGAGGGACCAGAGGGGGAACTCGATCTGGGAGGTGCATGGGTTTGGTACCAGGAGGGGAAGCGCAAGCTGGCAGAAGGCGAGCTTGGTTGCCATGTACTGCCTCATGAAATCATCGGCACAATGGAAAATGGCCATCTGGAGGTCCATGGGGTGTATACGTGTCAGCCCTGTTGCAGCAGACACGTTGATTTCCTCATTCTTAGCATTTAAAAAGTCGCTGTAAATATCGGAGGAGTCATCTGCGTGCTGAACCTCAGGGCTCGTCGCATTCAGCGCACTCAGAATGCCTGCCTTGACTTGGCTGTCCTCCTGGCAAACCAGGTATCTTACACGATAGTCCAGCATCAGCAGCTTCTGCAGAAAGTAGGAGGGGTATTCACTGCCACTTCTAGGCTGGCTGTCCCTCAGGGAAGTCTTGTTGATAACGTGGAAGTCCGCCATCCCCATCTTCCTCGGATAGTAAGCTTCTAATCCCAGGTATTTAATCAACTTGAGGAACTCTTGGCCTCTGGAACCCTCATGCATTTCAGGATCCTCTGACTTCTGTGGCGATGGCCTTGATGAATCCTTCTGCTTAGCATCGGAACAAATATCAATTAGCTCCTGTTTTATAATTTCTTTCCGTAGATCGCTGTTAGAGGCCGCGTATTCTCCATTTACAAGGGCAGTCAGATCTTTCGACAGAGCACCCCCAGGGTCACAGCGACCGTGTTTTTTAAGGATATCACTGACTTCTTGGGACAATGAGTCTCCCATGTGGTGCTTCATCCGAGTCAAGCATTTAAACTTCAGCTCTGGAGACACGTCCTTGCGTCTGGCTGCCATACGCAGACCTGTCAGGAGCAGGAATGCCTGAGCTCTGGGAATTGCCTGGTTCTTCAGGCACGTGTAGCGTTCATGCGCCTTCTTCATTTCACTCAACATGAAGTCGACTTCTGGCAACGCAAGGAGATACCGAAAAGTGCAGTTTTCTTCTTGAAATCCTGCACTCTCTGCAATGCACAGAAGCAATGATTCCACATCTCTCTCCCCTCTCTCTCTTAGAGCCTTCAAGAAGGAGCCCAAAGCTGAACTCAGATTTAGGCTGACTTTAACTTTTGCTTCTGTCTCTACCTCTGGAGGATGCCCAAACGCAGCTTTTTCCATAAGATCCTTCATTTTCTGGAGACTGTCCAAGAGATCACAGAATTCAGAAATACATGATGTTCTGGGGGGTTCTTCTTCCTCATGAAACACCCACTGCATAATGAAAGAAGATTTGGGGAAATTGTCCACTGAGAAGATGTGAGGATCAAGAAGGCCACGCAAGAGAAATTTTATAGACAAGGCATTAGGAAGAGATGAATATTTGCATGAWGAAACTGTGTTTATGAGGAAATTCTGCAGCACTTTGTTTGATAGGCAAGTGCTAACCCAGATCATGTTGCTCTTTGTTTTTTCACTCAGCTCTTGCTTGAAGATCATGAGTTTCACTAGATGCTGCTCAGCCTCACTGACTTCCCAGGACTTGATCTCCTCCAAGAATGGCTGGGTTTGTCCCAAAGCGCTCACTGTTCCCTCCTCACACAATTTATTTACAGGGAGATTTGTTAAGCTCTCATAGGCGGCCTGGAGGCTGCTGCTCAGCTGATGAACGTTTCTAAAGTCTTGTCCGTGATGGGAGAGGATGATGTCCCACACCGGGATGAGCTGAAAGCCTCGGTCGATCACACGCCAAGTTGTGTTATTAGTGACTAGCCCAGATTTCCACTCAGCAAGGGAATCCACCTCTGAGGGGCCTCCTGTTTTGGTCACAAAGAGCAGAATGGCTTTCTTCTCCTTTTGTGTGTCTCTTCCCTTAAACGATGCCGCCGAACTGGACTGGGARGTTCGAATCTCCCCCGCTGCGCTGAAGGCAAAGCGCTCACAGCTGGCCCCAACGTAGCAGTTGAGTGCTTCCGACGCTTGCTTTTTCATGTCTTCTCGCTCCTCAGCCCGGAATCCTTCCACAGACGCTTTCCACCAGAAGATGCCCCCAAAGTGCAGGGGGCCCTGGTTTACATGGGACCCAAACCTGCTGAAGAAGCTCCCACACCTGCTTTGCAGCACGTTAGGCTGGTTCGCTTCCGCAGTGATGCTCAGGATGCGCTCCAGCTCCTGCAGCTCCTGCAGCGCGGCAGCCGAGAGGCGAAGCTGATGCTTTTGGAAGTAGCAGGAGGCCAGAGGGATGTACTGGAACTTGGTGGTGCAAATACAGGCCTGCTCGGCGCGCGACTGCTGGCTTTCCACCGACTGGGCGGATGTGCTGCGGTCTAGAGCACCTTCAATGTTGAATCCCCAGCACGAGGCTTTGGCAGCGATGCTCATACTGAAGCCCAGCTGCTCCATGGACTTGGTGAAAGTGGCTTCTGCTGCGGCGGACGAAAACTCCTTCTTCTCGAGCAGCGACCCTTGCTCTGGACCGGCGAGCTTGAATCCCTCGGGAACGTCGATGAGCTGCTCCCGCTTGGCCAGCATGTCCTCCAGGCGCCTGGTTCGGTAAATGCCCTGCAGGGCCAGGCCCCCGGACGCCCACCTCAGCACTTCCTCATCGGAGACGTTCGCGCTCCGGCACGCCGGTTTCTCCTGCTGCCCCAGCTGCTTGTGCATCTCCTCCACCGCCTTCACCATCTTGTTCTCCGACGGCGTCAGACCGTCCTGGGCAGCGCGCAAGTCTTTGTGCAGCTCCTCCTCTCTTCTACATCCCTTGCTGTGGCCGCTCTCTTTCTGCATTTCTTTCAGGTCCTTCAGAGCCGCCTTGTGTCTCTCTTGCGACTCCTTCAAGCGCTGCTTCTGCGAGTCCTCCTCTCTTTTCTGCTTGTCTTCGATCTCCAGGAGTTTGAGAAGCGCCTTTTTTTCCCAGGGCTGCCGTGCCTCCCCTGCCAGTTTAAGGTAGTCCTCATGCTGCAGGTGCTGGAGAGCCTCATTGCAGGTAACGCCCAGGATCTCCGAGAGTTTGGGCAGCCAGAATTCCGCCTCCAGCCCTTGTTTCACACAGCTTTGCGCCAGGGCACTTTTGGCCGCGCTCTCCTTTTTCTCCTCCTTGGAGCTGCCCTTCTCCGCCTGCATGGCTGCGAAAGAGGAGAGCAGACGGTCRGCAAGCACACCTGGCAATTCCCTCTGTGCTGCTGAATACCCAGGAGAATCCTCCGGGCATGACCCTTCCATGGGGGTCTCRCCTCCTCCTACCCACTGCGCTTTCCTACCGGCCTTTTCCGACGTAACTAGCCACCCCAGGGACCTGTTGCTCTGCTCTTTGCCCTGGCACAGCCTCTCGTGCCAGCCTGTATTTTACATTCCCTTGTATCTGGACTATTCGGTTCACATTTTGGGGATCTCACCCATCTCACCTTGCAGCAGGTGCTGCGCTCGGCAGCACGCTCGGCTCTCCAGGTGACCAAGGAAATTCAAGCAAGGCGGACCATCCCTCAGCAGGCTCAGTGGACACGGCTGGGTTGAGAGGATGGAGAGAGGGARCACTGCAGGGAGCCGGGAATCGAAACACCAAGACCARGAGCTAAAAAGCCTAAAGGRGAAAACCAGGGAGGCAGCGGATGGCACCCCAGGAACATCAAGGATTCAGTGCAGGGAAGCCTTTTCTCCAAACCTGATGACTGCCCTGGCAGCATGAGCGGTATTTGGGGSTATGGGCAGAGCAGCGCCTTGCCTCGGAGCTAAACCCAGCTCCTGCTGTGTCCATTAGCCCAGGACCTGTTCTATATTTACGAGGTGTGGGTCTCCT